ACACACATATATACATACATACTCAGCAATAAAAGAGAATAAAATCATGACATTTTCAGGTAAATGGATGGAGTTGGAGAATGTCATGCTAAGTGAAGTAAGCCAATCCCCAAAACCCAAATGCTGATGTTTTCTCTGATAATATGAATGCTGATTCATAATGGGGATGGGGGTGGGGAGCATGGGAGAAATAGAAGAACTTTAGATAGGGAAAAGGGGAGCGAGGGAAGAGAGAGGTCATGGGGTAGGAAAGACAGTGTAATGAAAGGGACATCATTACCCTAAGTATGTGTATGAAAACATGAATGGTGTGACTCTACTTTGTGTACAATAGAGACATGAAAAAATGTGCTCATTTGTGTAATATAAAGTGAATTGAATTCTGCTGTCATATATAACAAATTAGAATACATTTTTTTAAAAAAAGAATAAAAAAACACAGAGACAAGCAAATGGGAAAAACTGCAGAAGGTCAATTAAATTAAAGGCAGAAAAGATTTGGTTTCTGTAAACAAAGACATCACTGGTGACTTCAAAAAGAGTAGAACCATTGGAGAAAGAGGTTGAGCCAGATTGGAATTCATTCACATTATTGTGTAGCTGTCATCATCTTCCAATGCTGTATAGCATTCATTATGTGACTATTCCACACCCTTTTAAATCCATTTTGTTTTTGATGGACTTTTGGATTGTTTTCTGTTTGGGGCCATTACAAATAATGCTGCATGAATATAGTTGGTGGACAAAAGTATGCATGTTAGGTATGTACCAAGAAGTGAAGATACTGCATCATGGGGCAAGATCACCTCTATTCATGTGGTGAAGCGCCTTGATTTTGATGTCATCAGGGGGTTATGTGCTGCTGCTGGGATTTTGTCTAGTTTAGCCATTCTTGTGTATGTAGTTGTACATCTTTATTATTTTGATTTTATGACTGATAATATTATTTTAAATATATTGTTTTATAGAGTATGAATACATACTCTATATGTATGTATATGTATCAAATACATATTTGCTTTGGAATTGGATTATCTTTGTTAATATGTGGAGGTCATACATTCAGTAGTTTGTCTCTATATTGCAAACTCTGTGGGTTATGCTTCTGAATCTCTCTCTAAATGGTGTTATTTTGATGACAGAATTATTAATGTAGCTCAAATCATCAACCCTCCTTCTCTCCCTCCTTTTATTTTTTCAGTATCCCTAAATTGCCAAGGCTGGCCCCAAACTTCAGATCCTCTTGCTAAGCCCTGAATCACTGAGTTTACAGGTGTGGACCACCATACCCATCTTAATCCTCCTTTCATGTTTTTGTGTTTACTGTTTACCAGTTCTTTGCCTAGCAAGGTCAGGAAGCTTTAGGAGTCCTTTAGGGGAAAATAAATATTTTGGAAATGAAAATATTTTTAGAGAAGTATTGTTTTTATCTTTAACTGGCACTGGGGATTGAACCCTGGGCCTTGGGCACAGTATGCAAGCATTGTACCTCTAAGCTACATCCCCAGCGTTTTTAATATTTTGAGACAGTGTCTCACCAAGTTGTCCAGGATGGCTTCAAACTTGCAAAGCTGAGATTACAGGCACACACTACTGTACCTGGCTTTTCCCCTCTTTGATATTTAGGTTTATGATCCATCTAGAATTGATGTGCATACATGGTGCAGTAGGATCAATATTTTTCCTCCTTTAATATGGACATCCACACCATGTATTGAAAATACTAGCCTTTTCTTTACTGCACTGTGGGGCCACTTTTTATAAACTAGGTAGCTGTGTATGCTTGGGTCTATTTTTCTGTATTTTATTGACATGCTTATCTAGATTTGTGCTAGTGTCACTATTTTAATTAGAGTTCTGAGTCTTGAAAAGCAAACATAAAAACAGCAGTCATAACATTACTAGAATGAAATGGTGTTTTTGTATAAGATGTTAACAGTCTTCTCACTTTGCTCTTTTGCTTTCAGTTATATCTGCTCTGGCTCTCCACATCTCCATTAGTTGTTAACCTTCTCATTTTTTTTTTTTTTTATTTTTTTTTTTTTTTTTTTTTAGTTGTAGGTAGACACAATACCTTTATTTTATTTTTACATGGTGCTGAGGATCGAACCCAGTGCCCCACGCATGCCAGGCAAGTGCTTTCCTTCTGAGCCACAACCGAGCCCTAACCGTCTCATTTTATCTCCTGCTAGTTTGAATGTTGACTATCTCCCAAAGGCCCATGTTAGACACTTGGTCCTCAGGATTGCATTATTGGGAGGTGGAGGAACCTTCAAGAGGTGAGGCCTAGTGGAAGGTCTTTCTACCACTGGAGATGTGTTCTCAAAGGGGATTTTGGGAGCCTGGACTCTCCCCTTTCCTTTTTTCCTGGCCACAGAGGTGAGCAGTTTTGCTCCAACATATCCTTTTCCCTGATGTGCTGCTTTGCCACAGGCCCAAAGCAGTGGGGACAACCATTCATAGATTGAACATATAAAACTGTGAGCCAAAATTAACCTTTTCTTTTGATGCTAATTATCTCAGATTATTTTGTTTTAGTGACTGAAAGATGCCTAACATACCTAACTCCCTCAAACATTATTGAGAATTTAACTGGGAATGCACTGAATCTTTAGATCAATTTAGCAAGAATTGATATTTGAGCAATGTGGAGTTTTTCAAACCATAAACATATTATTTTTATTAATAGTAAGATCTTTAAATTTTTTTTCTCATTAATGTTTGCTAGTTTTTCTGTGCAGAGCTGAAATGCGCACCACTGCTAAGTATCTGATGGCTTCTTTTTATATTACTGTAAATGGTGTCTACATTTAATTCTCTTATGTTTTGCTAGTTACACAAATGCAGTTGTAGTAATCTTATCTATATTGACATTACTTATTCTAAGGGATTGCTTGTAGATTCTTTTGGATTTTCTAGTTACATAGACTAAAAATGACTATATAGTAATTTTATTTCTACCAATCAATTTTACTTAGTTTCCCTGCCTTGAACTTAAGGCTATAGATCTCCTTATAAATAAAACCTTACATGCATCCCACTCATTTGACTACATATTTCAAGACAAGGGACCATCATCAGAAAGTTGAAGATGCTCAAAAATGTAAAAGACTGCCAGGCGTGGTAATCCCAGTGGCTTGGGAGGCTGAGGCAGGAGGATTGTGAGTTCAAAGCCAGCCTCAGCAATTTAGAGAGGTACTAAGCAACTCAGCGAGACCCTGTCTCTAAACAAAACACAAAATAAAGTTGGGACAAGGCTCAGTGACTGAGTGCCCCTGAGTTCAATCGTGGTATCCTTCCCCCACCCCCAAAAAGGTAAGAGACCAAGAAAAGAAACGTACATTAAAAACATCTGAAAATGAGTAATTTGAAAAGGAAAATACAGAGGACAAAATATTTATATTATAAAAAAATACTATGAAGAATAACATATTCAATCAATGAATAAGAACAAAGTACCTAAAAAAAAGTCAATGGATGCATTGGAAGATAAAAATACAGATAGGTAATATACCCTGCTTGTAACATAGATGTCAGGTCCATCAAAGAAGTTCTGCTACTCAAAAACATCTTCCAGTTATTATTGGATAATCCACTTGCAAACAATCCATTTTCAATATCTAAAAACTTCTAGTCACTAAGAGTATACATTCAATCATAATGGCAAATTTCAAATAATTGTAATTTACCACAGAACTCCTAAAATTAGTTTAAACTATAAACTTTAATAATGTTAATATCAACTACATCTTTAAAGTTTTATTATAAGTCATTTTAATTAAAATAAACTTAATTGAAAAAACAACCTGTCTCAGAATTACACAGTATGAGATGTTTTAAGTGCATGTAACTAACAGTACAAATACAGTAATTATAATACCCAAATGTTAGTAGCATACAGATTAATGTATCATATGTACTCAACAATGAAATTAGGCCCTATCTTGAAAATTGTATACAAGCACTTTTCATTTTATCAATTACAAGGTTCAAATGCACCTGTAACAAAACGTAACAATCTGTTAAATGCCAAGGGAAAAGACTAAACAATAAATTAATCCTTTAAATATGTCTACAAACCAATATAATTTTCTTGTTGAGTTTGATAGGCTAAAGGCTATTAAATATTTAGAAGCAATGAAATTAAATACAGAGTTTGGGAAGGAATCAAATAATTAAGTATCAACAGTGTATTTGTTGGCACAATCAAATTGGTGTCTACATCTCTATAAGAATATTAAATATAGTAAAATGTTATATTATATCTACTCGGATACCTGATGAGAGCTTTCTAAAGTTTCTTGTATCTTTCACAGGGAATACATACAGGGAATCCAAGCATATGATATAACACGTGCTTTGGAAAATACATTAGTTGCAGAAAAGCCCACAATAAGCAACACTATGACGGTATAGCAAAATGAAATGATGTAGTAATACGAAATATAAAACAGGATAATAATTTTTACTCCAACTTGAAGCAAAAATAAACAATGAGCTCATTACTTATGTATCTATTATAACAAGGAAATGCTGCTCGAAAACATTCATTCTTGCTGGGGCATGGTGGAGCACTACTGTAAATTCCAGTGACTTGGGAGGCTAAGGCAGGATGATCACAAATTTGAGGCCAGCCTCAGCATCTTAGTAAGACCCTCACCAACTTAATGAGACCTCATCTCAAAATAAAAAGTAAAAAGGACAGGGAATATAGCTCAGAGGTAAAACATCCCTGGATTAAATCCCCAATACCAACCAAAAAAGTTAAATATACATTTTACGATGTTTATTTTGGATATGCTAATATTTGACCGGTACTTTGCTAAGTACTACAGGTACAGTGATGATAAAACAAACAAGGTTTTCTGCCAAGAGAGAAACAAAACCTTAATCTAAGTAGTTGTTATATTCTTAAGGTATGGCTTTTGAAACAAATAGAATTTTTTCCAAAAAGGTAAGTTTTAAATTGAGTGTTTATATATACAAATAGTAATTCAAACTAGGCATGATGGCACACACCTGTAATCCCAGTGACTAAGGAAGGTGAGGCAGTAGGATTGCAAGTTTGAGGTCAGTCTAAGTAACAAGAGGATCATAGTTAGAAACAACACTACTAATTGACAATTTTAATTGATAGTTCATGAACTAAAATCCTGTTTATTTTTCCCAAAGTATATTCTTACAGGCAAAATTGTTCAAAACAATAAAACAAATATTACATCTATTTTTGCATACTTATTCTATGGAAAAAGTTTCCATTTTTAAATCAGGACATCAAAGACAATTTAATCAATCATATCCTCCTATATCTGAAACAGATATCCATCAGTGCATCAGCAAATCTGAGGAAAGCAATTGTGACTGAATACAATGCTATTGTAATCAATCTTCATCATCTCTTTGTAAAGGTATTATCTGAATTTCTTTGGCTATCCTTTCTGCTAATGCTTTACTATTTGCAGCAATTATTCTTCGTGACATCAAATCAAATGGTCCACCTAAAATCAGATTGAGAAAACAGTTATATCCTGTATAAAAATAATTCAGAAAAAAACAAGTATAGCTATATGTATCATGAACAACCTTAACATTTTAATATGTTCAGTTTTCTTAAAAAAATCTACTATCAGATAATTATAATGTTTAAACTTAACAGTATATGACTGAATCTCTAAGCATTTTGAGTAAATACCAGGGTAAAGGTGGATCTCAATTCAGACCAATCTGAAAAATGTCTTCTTTTCTCTTTTGTGCATGCTTATTACCTTTTCATTGTTTGAGATCTATGGAAAAGAATCTGACTTCAATACATTTTCATACTATTGTCCTTTCTCATTTCCTATTTCTTTGCTGCTTTTTTCCCCAGGTCATTGGGGAACTCCTTAAACCCAAATTCATTCCTTAAACATTTTGCTCTCAGCTCAAAGGAGGTATTATTAAACCTCTTTAGGCCCAAAGTAGAAAATGATAATGAAGGAAGTCTACTGTCAACTATCACCATGGTCACCATTCAGAAAGTTCTTGGTAAAGCCTCAAATCCAATGACTGCCTAGACTTTCTCTACAGCCTCTCAAGAATTCCTGATACACTTGAAGGGGCGTAGCCATTTGTCACTGTTAGTCGAACATTACCATTATTTCTTATCCTTGCTTCTATCTACTGTTTTTTAGACTTTGCATCAAATTGTATAGCTTGTTTTTGCCTTAAAAGCTGAAAATTTAACATGTATCAAACATTTTTTAAAAACCCTATATGGAGAGGAAAGTCTACACAGAAAAATGCTTTATTGTCCCATAATTTTACCTGTTACATCCATTAGCACTCCACCAGCTTCACTAACAATGATGCCAGCTCCTGCCATATCCCAGCAGTGAATTCCCATTTCATAATATGCATCTGCTCCTCCAGTTGCCACAAGGCACATATTAATAGCTGCCGTTCCAACGCTCCGGATTCTAACATTTGAAAATAAGATTGGAAAAATCGTCCTCTCAAATAATGCATTCCTCCTTACTTTCAGTTTACTTTAAGTGTTGACAGACAACCTGAACCAATCTAGAGGATACAAGTAAAAAACAGTGGTCTCTGATTTTGAAATAAAAGACATAAAAAATTTAATTATCTTGGTGTACTATATAAATCAAAAAACTAATCCTCACAAAGCAATCATTTAATAAGATAAAGATAAAAACAAGGGTTTTTTTCAGAAAAAAAAAATACTGAAGAATATACTGAAAGTCTACTATGATAGCATTCATGTATATTCACATGTCTAAACCTGGGCACTAGTTTATTTTACATACACACACACACATACACACACACACACTCGCTCTATAGTGTAAATAGACTTTAGGAGATATAAAACATCATGCTATTGGTCATCCCAACTGGGTGTGCATCACACATGTATCTGAAGGAATAATATAGCCTTGTCTGGGATCTGCAGAGACCTCAGCCTGTCATGGAAGATTACTATGGATTTGTCTTCTCACAGTAACTCTTCCTTAGAAATATACCAAGTTAAGGTAAGTACTGGTACTACTTGATAGCCACTATAGTATTAACTGAGTCATGACAGAATCAAAAAAAGCTAAAATTAATGCCAGGAGCAGTGGAGCACACTTACAATCCTAATGACTTAGGAGACTGAGGCAAGAGGATTACAAGTTTGAGCCTAGCCTGAGTAACTTAGTGAAACCCTGTCTCAAAATAAAAAATAAAAAGGGTTGGAGATATAGCTCAGTGTAGAGTGCTCCTGGGTTCAGCCTCCAGTACAAAAAAAATTTAAATTTAAACAAAAGAAAAACTATGCCAAAATTAACGGGCAAGTTTGATGTTTATGTAGTATCAAAGTATCTTCCCACAAGACACATAATAATTGCAACAGGAAAAATATCATTTTTATAATGTTCTACAGTTCCCAAGGTATCAATGTTATCATTCATAATGGAAAACAGGACCATGTACCTCCTGATAAGATGCCTTGAGAAGAAAAGAACATAAAACTTCTGTGGCATTCTTGCCAAAAAATGCAGAATCTAAACAAACAAGAGGAAATCAAACCCACCCAAGCAAGGAGACAAAACTACAAAACATGTGGCCTATAATTCTAAAAATATTCAAGATCAAAAAGACAAAGACTATGCAAATGTTCTACACTAAAGAAAACTGAAGAGAAAGGACAACTAAATGCAATGCACGCTCCTGAAATGGACCTTGGTTTAGAATTGTTTCAAATTTTGAATAAGACTTCTATATTAGGTTATGTATCAAAGTTAATTCACTGATTTTTTTTTGCGGGGGGGGGGGGGGGATGTATACTGGTGAACCCCGGAATGCTTAACCACTAAGCCACATCCCTAGCCCATTTTATTTTTTTTATTTTGAGTCAGGGTCTTGCTAAGTTGCTTAGGTCTTCCATAAGTTGCTGAGGCTGGTTTTGAACTTGTAATCCTCACCTGCCTCACCTTCCTAGACCACTGGGATTACAGGTTGTGTACCACCACACCCAGCCAAATTCCCTGATTTTTATAAAAATACCATTTTTATGTTACAGAATGTTCCTTTTATTATTAAAGAAATGGATATGTTTGTGTATATTTAGAAAAAGATTCATCATGTTTGCAAATTACTTTCAATTTTTTTTACTGAAAACTCTTTTTTAATCATTTAACATCTGGAAATAAGGCAGTGAGTTCTATCCACCAAAATCTTTCAAAAAATCTTTTTTAAAAAAATTCATAGGGGGGGCTGGGGATATAGCTCAGTTGGTAGAGTGCTTGCCTTGCATGCACAAGGCCCTGGGTTCTATCCCCAGCACCGCAAAAAAAAAAAAAATTCATAGGGCTGGGGATGTGGCTCAAGCCGTAGCGTGCTTGCCTGGCATGTGTGCGGCCCAGGTTCGATCCTCAGTGCCACATACAAATAAAGATATTGTGTCCGCCGAAAACTAAAAAATAAATATTAATTTTAAAAAAATTCATAAAGGTGTTTTTCCCCCTTCTCACATGGGATATAATTCATAGTAAAGGTATTCTTATCTCATGCTCTGAAAAGAACACACCAAGATCTTTTACAAATAATCCTTTGATATTCCATTGAGGGACTGACCCTAAGTTAGAAGAACAGCTATGATGGCTACTAGTAAATCTTCTAGTGAACATCTGAGTTCTCAAGCAAGGAGTTTAAGAGTCAAGAAGAGCATATTCTTCTATGGACAAATATTTTCAAAGGATTACCAAAAAGGTTACATGATTATCAAATAATAAGGCCATGACCCCAATTCTTAATTTTGTGTCTGAATCCTTAGTCTGACCCTCCGGTAGAGGTATTATGGCAAAGAGTAAGGACTGTCTATGGTATCACAAAGATTTGAGTTTGCTCCCATGCCCAGCTGCTTAAAAACTAAAATTGTGAAAAAGTCTGATTTTAGCTTTCTGGATATCAAAACAACAATACCAATTTACCTTGGATGACTACTGTAATGACTACAAATAACCTAAGTTAAGCACTCACAGAGTGCCTAGCACAGAAAAGGTCTAGTGAAAAGTAGTTATGTTTATGAAGAAACTTTCCCTAAACCATTGTCAAACACAATCTACAAGAGACACAGTAAATGAATTCCTCAAAATTAAATAAAGGTACTTGGCCCACAGTCATTTTACTTTATTTCTCATAAACAGTATTCCCTAGTTAGCAACCTATTAGACTATTCTTTTTGTTTAAGACATTCAACCAGATTATGATTCTCTTGGACTCATTTTGTTTTGTATTAGTAATTCTGAAGTCACATTCAAAAACTTAAGAATCTGCTGAATCCACAGACCATTAAAAATATAAAAATAAAAATAAAGAAATCAATATATATCCCTGGTAAATCAATATATATCCTGGTTAAACTATTGAAAACATCCTAAAGTAAAAATTGTATTTTACTTAAGCCAATGGCAAAATAAATGGTCAAAGTTGTAAACACTTGCGGCTCTTTTATGGCTAACATAGACATTTTAGTGTCCAATGTTAAAGTGCTTCCTTCAAAAGAGCTGTGGCAATAGATTTTTAAAATCACAGTGTTCCTGCCTGAAGGAAAACATTCTGGGAGGTTCTACAGCCACATGACAGTGATTCTTTTACTTTACTCATTACGATTATGGACCACAGATTTATAGCCTACAATCACAGTTTGTACCATGGTCAAACTATACTTTTAATGTCTAGACTCCTAAAAGAGAAGTCGAATTTTGGAGAAAAGAGAAAGGATCTAGAGGCTAGAGTTATGGTCTTATCTCCGTCTAGCTGTATGATCTCAGAAAACCACTTCATCTCACTGTGCCTCAGTCAACTAGACCTACAAAATAATGGCTTATTTAATGATCTTTTTAACTAGTGCCAAGAGTTTTATAAGTTAGTAACAATATTTTCAGGGAAAAAAGGTAGAAAGGTAGGAACAGTTGGCAGTAAAATAAAATCATAAAAACATACTATTATTCCATAGCTTTTTACACATGATTTTTCATTCAAACTAACTACAATAAATGTCAGAGAAATGCTACTTAATATAGTCATAACCTATAGATCTTCCCAAAATATTAAGGAAAAATATAAAAATAAATATCTTAGAAAACTAAAACATCAATTCAATTTGAATTAAATATCCTATCAATATCCTCAGATACTTATAAATATGAAAGAAAATCATAAAAACAAAAACTAAGAACAGAAATGGACCCAAATAAATATAAAGTTTTTTTTTTTAATCCAGATGATTAAACTTAGAAAAAAAGTGGGGTGACCCCAAATTATATAAGAACCAAATAATAAATTACAAGGTTCCCAAAGAAAAACTTGGCGAGTAAAATAAGAAAGAATTAAAAAAGGACATAGAGAAAATGGTGAAATGTAAGACACAAAGGATGTAACTGGTGTCTTGGAAGAAAAAAAATGGGAACAGCAGAAGTGAAATAGCATTTCACTTCAATAGACATTTCACAGCAATTGACATAAATCTACACACTGAAACAGAAAACTAATCCAGAATGAGCTATTCTAAGATAAATCCTTGCAAAAATATTAGCCTTCAAGGGTTTTTTTTTTGGGGGGGGGGGGGCTGGAAAGGGTGATTCTCAGAGCCTCCAGTGAGATGAAATAACTTAAAAGCCAAGAAAATTAGATTGACATCTTATTCAAAAACAATACAAAAAGCAAGGCAACAGTGAAATAGCATTTTCAAGAAATAACTTAGTTCATACTTTATATCCAGCCAAGCTGCCTTTGATGTTTCAAGGCCACAGAAAAAGAGTTTGGAAAATGTCAAAATTCAAGAAATACTCTGCATACATGCCCTCTCCAAGGAATCTACTATAGGATGCACTTCATCCAGTCAAAAGGTGACTGGAAAACTTTACCAAGTTTTATGGAACTGTGAATTGAAGAATACATAAAATTGATGTTTTGACAAAGTAGAAAGAATTCCAACTTAAAAATGGGAAGAAACTGAGAAAATGGGAAAAGAAAGTAAATTTCTGTTATATATGTAACAAATGGAAGTAAAAAAATCTTGGGACCTATACAGATAGTTAGTGGATAAGTGAAAAAAAAGAATATTAAAGTCACCATAAAAAGTTTTAATGCCCAAGAAGTTCACTAGAATAAAATTTAATTTTATATAAATACAAAAAGAAAGTGAAAAAAAAAGGAGAGAGAACTTACCAAATAAACATTGTAACTATAAGTAATATACACAGTAATTGCAACATTAGATAATACAGCAGAATTGAGGTCAAACAAAATAGTCCTATCAATTCACCAATAGTACTCACTTGTCTATTCAAAAGATTTTAAAATTGACTTATAAATAAAAGCTCCACTTATGTTGTATAGAAGAGATACATTTAAAATGCAGGAATTTAAAAGGGCTAAAAAGAAATGGGGGTGGTATACAAAGATTTAAAAGGCAAATGGGAACAGTAAAAAGGCAGGGATGGCAATTCTGCTGTCAAAGTAGACTTCAAGCTAAAAAGCATAAAATAAGACAAAGAATACTTTACAATATTAAAATTATAAAATGAAGGTATAACCATTACAAATAGGCATCAAATAACATCTTCTAACTATATAAAAGCCACAAGAGTCATGAGACATACAGACACACACTAACAGAAGGCTTTAACACAACATTCTCAATATAAGACAATAGACAAAAATATAAATAATATGATTAAGATAGACCTTTGGCTATGCATTAAATATTATACCCTGAAAATAGAGAATATACTTTTTTTAAAAGTATATATGGAATTTTCACAAAAATTGATCACAGACTAGGGCACAGAGAACTCTAGTGGGTCCTTTAATGAAAAATTATTACAGTTCAATAAAGCTACAGATTAAAAATGATAAAAAAAAAAAACTTCTCCTTATGGACATTTAACAATATAACTCCACGCCAGGTGGGTGGTACACCCAGCATCTCTGGAGCCTGAGGCAGGAGTATTACAAGTTCAAAAACAGCCTCAGTCACTTAGCAAGACCCTGCCTCAAAATGAAAAAGAGAAAAAGGCTGGGGGGATGTGGTTAAGCAGCCTTAGGTTGGATCCCTAGTTAGATAAAAATGTATTTATTAAGAAAGTAACTATATCTATTCCTAGGAAATAAACTGAAAAATTTAGGAGTAAAAAGCCACAATGTATGTAACTTACTCTGAAATGGTTCAAGGAAACACATACACACACACACACACACACACACACACACACACACACTCTCTCTCTCTCTCTCTCAGGATAAAATGTAAGGCAAGTGGGATAAAGTGTTAACAGGTGAATCTGGGTAAAAAGTATACTATTTTTCTTTGTACCATCTTACTTCTACTATTTTTTGTTAAGTTTAAATTATTCAAAAGAATTTCAAAATTATATTACAAAAAGTTTTCAAAATTGTATTACAAAGGGCTGAGGCGGTAGCTCAGTGGCAGAGCACTTGCTTAGCATGTGAGAGACACTGGGCTTGATACTCAGCACCACAGGAAAATAAATAAAATAAAGACATGCTGTTCATCTAGAACTACAATTTTTTTTAATTGCATTACAAAATTAGAATTATGGTACTGATTCTGTGTTTTAATAAAAATTATTAATTTCTAAAGAAAAACACTATTTTAAAAAAATACTACATTGTCTAGAAAATGAAAAGAGCTTACCCATGAATGGGAATGGAAAAAAGCTTTTCCATGTTAGAAAGAATAATTTGTACAGTCTCTGGTGTTCTGGAAGAGCCCAACTCAGTCACCAAAAGTGATTTGGTAATATCTGAAAAGGAAATGTTTCAGATAATCACTAGATTTTAATATTAGAATTCTAACAAAAATGTGACATTTGCAATCCAAACTATAATAGGACATTTTAATACCTCTTCCTAGCTTTATCAAATGTCTTTCTAAGCCTCAAATGTTAAAATACTGATATACTTATCTTCAAGTGATGATTTTAATAAGCAAAGAATCTAATTTTTTAGACTATTACCTAAAATGTATAGAATATAACCGGTTTACGTATGGGTCTGAAATAAACATTTAAAAAATATAAGTACACAAAATCAACTCCACCAAAAATTAGAAGACAAATCTACCTTCTTGTTTTGAAACCTGCAGTTTTTGGCCATTACAAAAGGCACCTTTTCCTTTCCTGCCAGTGTACATCTTATCTTCTACACAACTGTACACAACTCCAAATTCCATCTGTGGAGGAAAAAAAAGTTTTCTTTATCAACCTGAGTATTTTTCTTTATTAAATCAGTATTTTTTTTCTAAAAAAAGGAACTGAAAAATTATAGTATAGTGTAACAATGTATTCAAATGACAAAACTATGGAATACTTAAAATGTTCATTTCCAGTCTAGATAGAAAAAGAGGTTATCAAGCCTGAAATGCTCAACTCTCCTTCTACCCAAGTCTAGACAGAGCCCCTACTTTCCCTCTCTCCCTTAGTTTTAAATGCAGACAGCTCTTTCCAATTTGCTAGGGTGAAAATGCTCTCCTGTGTTTCTACTTTCTTGTCCATTCTCTGAAAAACTGCTCAATCAACTGATCCCTAATCTTATTCTTACTGACCAAATGCCTTATCTACAGAATTGGAGGCTGCTAGCTATCATTAATACTTCGATACTTAGTATGACACCTGTGTGCTCCTGGCTGTCTTGTTTGTACCTCACTCACAAATCCATCCCAGTGTCATGATTTTATAATCTTCTCCCTAAAAGCTGTGTAACTGGGGTGTTTCCATACCTAGGGTATTTCCCCATCTTCCATTATTTCCTTTGCCCTTTTAGCTCTCCATATTCTTACAGACTGGTCCATTTCAATTGACAAATTCAGCTACCACTAAAAACTTTGGTTCCCATCAACCCATCACTACAGACTGAGAGCATATGCTTCCGCATCTTGTCTTACAGAAACCTCAGGGGTCAAAAAATCACTTAAAAATCGCTTCTTCAACCTCTCCAAACTATTGTTTCTGATTGAAATGCTTTCCTTTTCTTTTTTATTTGGCAAATTTTTAATTTTCTAAGTAGCAACTCACATAACTAACTTCTAAGACCCCTTCTGGTAGAAATATTTCCCCAACCCACAATATGCAGAATTGTTCATATCTTCTTGTGTGTCCCACTGCCCTGAAGTATGAGTTCAATAGCAGGGTCAGCATACAGCTGCAAAGCTAATTATATGCTCAATGCTCAAATAGTTCCTTTGGGATGTTCTCACTTTTTAATACAATCCTGTAGCTAAGATTTCAACTAATTTGTGTTTTTATTTTCAGAAATTTCTTAATTGTTTTATACATGCTGATATAATATACAAGCTCCTTGAAGACAGATGTCAGTACACATCCTTTACTGTTTGGATAGTCAAGAAGTCAATCAGCAAAGAAAGGCTATAGCTATGGATTTTACTCAATTGAGTTCTGGATGTAGGTATTCAATGATGTTTAGGTCCACATTTTCCAACCATGCTTTGGCTCTTGCTCCTTTCTAGACTTTGAATATCTCTATTCACTAGTACCTACTAAAGTATTCCTAGCTCCCAAACCTCACCTTTTCCAGGCAGCATTTAAGATCACATCAACTGCTATCATTATCTGATTCTATCACATATATAATGGTGATTAGATACTAAATTGAATTTCATTTACTTGTGTCCATTTTCTCCTTACAATTCCTGCTTCTCAGAAAACATTAAATTTTCTACACTGGAAATGGATTATGAAAATTTTAATAGTTCTATAGTTTACATTCAAAGTTAAACAATTACATAAACTGAATCTAGAGACAAATCTGAACTATTAAAGAGATACATTTACTCTTCCTCAGAATATGATAGCAAGGCATTTTATGAATGGTACATTTAAAACAACATACCTTTTTATTTACAACAAAGCCAATCGAAACAGCTACAAAAGGAAATCTTAAAAAAAGAGACAAAACCCACAAATTTACCAAGACAGAATTTAATTTTAATAAAATCCACCTTTTTCATAAGTGCTTACAAAGTTTTTCATACAAAGGCTCATCCCTCTTTCCCCAATTAAGTTTATAGAGTATGTAAATAGGAGGAAGGGAAGAAGCAGTATATATACACATATATTTATATTCATACATACAGAAAGCCTCTACAGGCATGAAACATATCTGTAAGGATTCACAAGAAACTGATGATAACTGTCATTTCCAGAAACAGATGTTGAGAAACCAGGGAATAAAGTGTGAAGTACACTTTGCACCGCATGCCATTTTCCATTTGATGAAGGTCAAATACCATGAATATAATAAGTATGTAAAATATTATTTTCATAAAATAAAAATAAATTGGAAAAAAGTTTAAATTGATCCTGGTTAAAAGAAGGGGCTGTATGCTCAGCCCTTTTTTTGTTCATTTCCCTCACAGCCTGAACCTGTGATAAAACCAACTCTACAGAATAAATAGTTGTTGCTTATCTGTAATCCAATGCCAAGCTCAGAGCTTCACATTTAAAAAATAAACTGCTGGCCACAGTGATTACTTATGGCTGCCAACAGTTTGAACAGAGGGGTTCTAATATCTTATTCATAAGAGAATCAGAATTAATAACAAAATAGGTTCAATGTAACTACTGAAAATAAAAACTCTCAAGTATTAAATACTTGAATCCCACTGTATGCACTGTATTATCTTCTTATGTTACAATATATTATGAGCTGCTTTCCACATTTTAAAAATACAACACTCTATCACATTTAGATTCTAGGCCTTAACTTTATATTTAACAAGATTCTGTATGTGGTACAGACACATACAGCAGCTACAAGACAAGTTCAAATACAACATTTATGTGCAATCCCATCAAACTAGGTACTAACTTTAACTCTCCAATTTCATCAGGCTTTCTTCTAAAGATAATACACTAAGCTGCAACATATTTACTAAATTCTTATATAAATGAACTACTCAGTGAATCCCAACAACAAAGAGGTGCCATTAATATAAAAAAAGGAAATCTTAAAAAACTGAGGCTTACAAAGATTAAGAAAGATTTAAAAGAAATCTTTTAAAAATTGAGGCCTACAAGGATTAACTAACTTGCCTATGGTCATAAAAAGAATTTAAGATGCACCAGAATTCAAGTCCAAGTCTGTTGATTCTAAAATTTGTGCACTTTTAACACTGTTTTCCCTCTTGAACTGAATTCATTCTATACGGACAACACTCCATTAATGACCTTTCATTAGTTTTCTACATTGCACTTTCTACAAGTCTACAACATTTTTACTGCTTCTTCACCTCCTCTATATATGACTAAAAGTCCACATAATACGTTTTGCTCTACTATTAACATATACATTTCTTTAGAATAAAGAAGCATAAACAAATTACACAACTCCCTAAAGTATGTATGTTTCTTGGAATATTTTGAAGTTCCACCCAGTTAATATACAAACAGTAATTATATTAAAAAATTAAAAACATACCTATGTACAAAGTTAGTTGTTCCATCAATAGGGTCAATGATCCATGTGGGGTTATCAGTCAAGATACTTTTTTCCCCAGCTGCCACAGATTCCTCACCAATGAAACTAAAAGCAAGAAAGACAAACTTCTAATCTCTACATTGTTTCCAACAGTTATCAAACAAGAATATTTCTTTAGCACAAGAATGGACTATAAAACATAACCAAAATCTGTACATTATTTTTCCACTGTTGCTTCTTTGTTCTTTCTGTGAAACCTGATAAAAGTGACAAAGCTTTATTTCTCCCAGAGCAAAGGCATATGAAGTTACAGATTCAATAGAAGTTCACTGGATTAGACAAAAGGGAATGAAGGGAAGAAAGGGGGGATAGGAATAGGAAAGACAGTAGAATGAATCAGACATAACTTTCCTATGGTTCATATATGAATACACAACCACTGTAACTCCACATCATTTACAACCACAAGAAGATATACACCATGTGTGTATAATATGTCCAACAATACTCTACTGTCATGTATATCTATAAAGAACAAATTTTAAAAAAGAAAAGAAGTTACAGAATCAAAATTCTAAAATAAAATGGCAGGGTATGTAATGGCACACACCTGTACACACACACAAGCACATTTACTGCAGATGAGAAATCATTAGGAAATATAATTTTACAATAAAAAGGACATTTATTGCAGATGAGAAATCATTAGGAAATATAATTTTACAATTAAGTCTATAAATTCTCTACTCATTTTTTGAGTGTGAGCTGGACACAGTGACTTGTTTCTAGCTAACAGAATAAAGTAAAAGTGACAGTGAACAACTTTGAACAGACTTCTCACAAATGGCCCTGTGATTTCCATCTTTGAGGACAAACCTGTTGTGTTATGAGCTGCTTAGAGAAGAGGCCCACATAGTGAGGACCTGAGGGAAGCTGCTAGACAACAAACCACAAGGCGCTGAAGTCTGCCAACAACCACAGAAATGAATGGATCCTTCAGTATCCTAACAATCACTTGTCATGTTTTCTTTTTTAATCTTTTTCTGTTTTTAATCTTTTTCTGTTAACTGTAAACCTTTTTACTGGAGACATTATCTTTAGCCACAGCTTTAATGTTTAAGAGACCAGGAAAGGCCAATGGCATGACTAAGAAAAAGTACAGAAGCACAGTGGACTTTAAAGTAAGTACAGTGCTATAACTTAAAAATGATGAAAATGTCTCTACTATATTTCTGTACCTGAGATCCCTGATTTTAGGATTTTCTTTTAAGCTCCCACAAGCTACCACTACTGTAACATATAAAGAAGTTTACAATATAGAAAATATAACTGAGCTTTAAAATCATGCCTATAGCAGATTTTTGCCTCCTAACATTCAAATGTTCCTCTTATTATGAAAGAATCCAAATTTTCTTCCCTTTTCCCTGATCTCTGGCACTTCGAGCACAAACAACCTAAGCTTAATAATCACATGCTGCTGCCCAGAATTTGTAATCTTAAACCAATGAGGTAAAGACATAAGACTGGGTAGAAAGTATTCAAAACCATCAGTCAAGGGTAAGGCCACCAGAGATACCCTAAACAATGGTTGCTGTGTTATCTGTAAGTATGCCTTCTTCCCTCTCCGCAGTCCTGGCCTGAGCTGCCCAAAACCCTCAAAATAAATTCCTTTTCAGATTAAACTAACTAAAGTCAGGTTCTGTGTCTAGAATTAAAATTTTTGTCTAATATATTAACTCCAACCTAGGCTTCTTATTATCATTGGAAATTGATATAAGAAATACCTGTGAGATGGATACTTTTCCTTTATGGAAGAGATAAGCATTTTTTCAACTTTTTGGTCTGTAGCAGTTACCAAATCAGCCGGAGAACTTTTAATCATAACATTCATTTCACATTTTAGAGCTTCACAGATCACCTAAAAAGATTTTTTGGTAAGCAAACAGAAAAGTCATAATTAATTTTAAATCAAACAAAAAGATAAAATACTGTCATAGGATTTAAAACATTCACTTACAAAAATTGTTATAAAATAACTCTTTAATGGCTATGACCTTCTCAGCACAAACTTATATAACCTTACCTCCTATTTTAGATTCATAACTGTCATCACAGAATGTTTAATGATATAAATTGAAATAGTCTCTCTATTTAAAGAGTTCATTAAAATGAAAGCAAATGTAAAATAATCAAAATACATGTTTTATCTAACAAGGCAATCATGCTCTACTATATCACATTATGGTGGACAAAATTTTAATTTGTACCTACCTCTCCAGCTTGTCTTGCTAGGGTTACTGCATAATCCATGCATTCCTGCCATGGATCAGCCATCTTCTGATTATATCTAACACAGAGAAGGACATAGTAGTTACTAATCTCTGATAGTTTTAATCATATAACAGTTAGTTTACAAAAGCATCTCAATTAGCAGAAGATTTTCATTCCAAGATTCACCCCCTCTCCTATTTTAAAGTTCATTTTTTCCCAAAAATTTACTTGTAGGTCCAGTAAATATCATTTTTTATCTAACACTTCACATCTATTATAGAAACATTTTTATCACAAAAAACAGACTATGATATCATCTCCCTAGGTGTCCATACCATATTAGATTAAAAAAACAAAACAAACAAAAACCTTAAGACACCTACTGGTTTGGAGAATGAAAAAGGACAAACAAGAAATAGTTTAAAAGAGAGGAATATGGTTGGGTGGAGAACAAAAAATAAGAAAAAAAAAGAAAATACTTAAATAAAAGAAGCTTTGAAAATAAGGAACAAAAGGCACACGTACTAACAAAAGCCAGATAGGTGCTTAAAACAACAATTTTTTAAAATAAGGTTTTGGTAAAGATAAAAAATTTAAGGTTCAGAGGTGAGAAATAATTCTTAAGACTATATAGAAAGATGATAAAGACAGAAATTGATTTTAATTCTGATTTTAAAGTCGACTTCTCTATTTGGATTCTGAGAGAAGATTCCAGGACTAAAAATATAATTAAAAAAAATTAAATTTATTTCCCTGAGTTTTACAGAGAGGAAAAAAAAAATCACATAGTTTTATATTGTGACCTGTCCAACTTTCCACTGACTTCTGAAGATTCACTACTGCTTGACCACACTCCAAAGTGGTCAAGTGGTCTGCCTAGCACAGAGAAGCATTTTAAGCTGACATACTCAGAACATCTGGCACTCTTTATGAGCAATCTTAAATTTTTCCTCTTTTAAAATTGAGAACAGACATAGTTTCATCTTGAATACTACTCAGAAATACATACTATATTGCTTACATTACAGGAGAAGTGTAACAAGAACAGGGGAGGGCAAGGGACATATAGGGCTTCTGCTGGTTGTTTTCTCTTCCTGAGATAAACATTTAAAGAATTTTTAAAAGGAGGTCACTTTTTGAGTTATATAAGTAACTGCTTAGAAGTCTTCAAGAATAGTATCCAAACTTTATTCCACTCCCCCTCCCACTCTCTTCTCTCATCAGAAGTAGAATCCTTGGGCTGTGTGTGTCTGCTTCCTCCCATTACTTTGCTCAAGTCTCCCACTTCACCTTCTGATTGCACTAATATTGTATCAAGAGCTCAGATTCTTCACTTTTGTCTGCAAAGGCTGGATGGGTTGCTAAAAACAGGATTAAAGAGTTGGAATCTCTACCTCCATTTTGTATCCATCTTTTAGGATGAGTCACCTAGGATTCCAGGAAGAAGTTCAGATCAATAAACACCTTGTGAAAAGATGAAGCCACAAAGCCCTCCCTGATCAAACCTGATGTGGTGGTGGACTAGACCACAATTCCTTTGGCAGCTGTGAAAAGGCTCCAGCTATGCAAACCCCCAACCCCTGCCCTCATTCCCCTTTCTATAAAACCTCAAAGTTAGCCCCTAGAAGACAGGATTAAACACTGGTTACATCTGATTGGTTGAATGCCCAGAAATAAGTCTCTGGCCTTGGACTCTGGTAAAATCTAATTCTTATTCAATTCCTCAAGGCTCACTTCAAAAGCTACCTTTTCTTTTAGGAATTCTCCACCCAGAAGTTGTTTAATCATTCCATAAACAATTGATGAACACCTATTATATGCTGTATACACACTATGGTGAGTAAAACCAGGTCCCATTCATTTACTTTCTAATGGGGAGTCAATGTCAATTTAAAAAATCACAGACTACACGAAAAATCATAAATATTATACAAGCTAAGCAGAAGAAATACAATGAGAAGCATATAATAGGGGGGCTTTGACTGAACTTAGGTATCCAATAAGGCTTCCCTGAGGATATGATTAAACTAAGATATAAAAGACAAGTGAATAGGCATCAACTAACTCAACTCAGGTCTCTTGATGCATGAAACATGCACCCAAACATGATAGCTCAGAGATCCAAGGAAACAGGAAGAGATAAGGCTAGGGGAGGCAATAGAATCACTCCTTTCTTAATACAGCCATGAAGAATCATTTCAATCTGGCTACTAAACAGAATGAATTGGATGGTAAAGGGAAAAGCAAAGAATGAATGTGTACAAACATGTTAGGACTTTTAGTTTCAGGATGCAAGAGTCCAGAGGAGACCCAATGATTGGCTTAAACCTAGGGAGAGAAGTTTTACAGGCAGAGAAACTGGAGAGTCAAGAGATTTGCTTTGTGGAATAAAACTAGGGAGACTTGGTAACAGATCAGACATGGAGTGTGAGGACAGAAGAGCTGAAGAATGTCCACTTTTCACTCTGACAACTGAATAGATAATGATGACACCTACTGAAAAAGGAAGCAACAGAAGAGTCAAGTTCAGGAGTTAGGAGACCAGAAGATTAAGAGTTTAATTAGTGTGGCAGAAGCACTTCTGTGAAATCCAGTGACAATGACAATTAGCTAGTTAAACCCTGAGCTCAGAAAAGTATGCCCTTAAGATATAAATATGTAAGTCATTTGAGTAAGCAGCAACTGAGGTTCTGAATCTTAATGAGAATCCTGGAGCCTTGGCCTGGAAGAACCCACAAAACTTTGTATATCATTTTTAGGGCACTCAACAGTGTCTTCCTTACATTTGTATGCATGCTGTATCTTCTCAACCAGTTTGAGTACATTTCTTGATGCTAAGGGAAATTCTGAGATGACCTAAAATTTATTATAAGAGCCAGAAAGGAGAAGAGATAATCACAGTTAATTAGTAAACGGTTTGGGGATGTGTGTGAAACCAACAATCTAAAAATTCTCTTAGTTCTAGGTCCCAGGGAAGTTTTTTTCCAACCTAGCCTCGTTGCTGGTAATTTTAAGAAACTTTTCCCAGGTCCTGGTCCTTTTTCCGGTGAGCAACTATAAATGGCTCAATAAATCCTTTTGTCTCAGAGATCTCTCGGTCTCAAGAATACTGCTTTCACAAGGGCTGGATTTTATGACCCTTCACTTTCCCAAAGCCATATATACCTGAAACGTTTCCAACCGTCTCTGTTTCTGATCAGTCTTGCCGGTGTGGAAGTCACACCAATTTACTGCCACCTGTCCCCAGCAGCGCGACCCTGGACAGCACAGGAGCTGTGGCCAAGCCCCCCTCGCTTACACTCTGACGATACGACCCTGGCAATGTGCCAGGTCTGGGAGCTCCTTTGAAGTCCGTGAAAATGCGAACTGAGCAATTACCCTACATAAACTGCCTCGAGGATTAAGTAAGATTGCGCAGGCGAAGCCACTTCACTAATGGTGTGGCTGTTTCTGCTTTCACTCAGAGGCAGCCCGGGATAACGGTGCAGCAAAGAGGTGGCCTCAGCTGCGGCCTTCGCTCGGGGCGCCGAGCCCGCGCCGGAGGCAGTGAGAGAGAGGCTGCTCCGAGTCCTCCCAGCCCTCAGCGCCCACCCAACCCGGAACAAAAGCGGTCTCACCTCGGAAGGTGGTAGGGCGATCTCCTCTCTCAGCAGCCAGCTACCTTGGACGCGGCTCAACTCTTCCGGATGTGGAGTGGCTGCCCACGACAGGAAGTCCCGCCTTCATAAGGCCTGCCCGTGGGGCGTGGTCTCGTTGATGCCCCGCCCTGTAGCTGCAGCTCTTCCTCTAGCTACGCCCCCGGGAGGCCAGCCTGGGAGCGACGGATCTGGCCTCTTCTAACTCTATCCTGCTTGCCCTTTTTTTCCCCCTGAAAACCCCTTTTTTCTTTGCTTCTTACTCATTCTTTTCGTCTTCTATTCGTTCACATTTTCCCACTTCCCTTTATTGCTCCTCTCATTTATTTCCTACTACTTTGGCCAAACATAAATAGGAGCTGTGACTCCGATTGTGCCGCTCTTATTTGCTACACCTGTGCTTGGTAAGCCTATAGATTTATTTTGGTTTGTTTTAAATAACTGATTACCACAACCAACTGCGCTCCTATTCTCAATAATTCATTTAGATACCATTTGTTGAGGACTTACCATGCTTCGGGCAATTGTGGTTTTGTATGTGTTGTTTAATAAATTTTAAAACAGTTTCATAAGCAGTTTCATAATTTGCTTCATCATACAAATGAGGGTTAGCGTTGTTAAGTGATTTGTCCTCTGGTCACACAGCAGAGACAGGAACACACTGACTCCAAAGTCCACCATGCAGGAATATATACAGCACAATGAGGTCCAGGGCTAATCTACGGTCTTTGAAATGCTTCCTCTTCTTGAAATAACAAATTTAGCACCATTTTATATGTATATCACTATGATGCAAAAAGTGTTGCAAAGATAGAAATCATCCTAACCACATCAGGACCAGAGAAGTGAATTGTCTGGCTCCTTGCTTGTGAAGTGATTATTTCTCTTAGTTTAATCAAAAGAATGTTATCACTAGTGTGAAACAGTTCTCAAAGAATGATGTGAATGGTGGATTCAATTCTCAAAGCTTGTGAAGAGCCAGAGACTTGTCTTTGTTCTTCTGAAGAAGATACCTTAGGAACCTGATTTGAATACCTCTATTTGTATATGAAATGATACTTTGGGCTTCTTGATTTTAAAAACACCTTCAGAAACTAGGGGAAAAAAATTTGGTTCTCCATTGTCAAGTTAAAATTAAAATCTTGCCTAATGTATATGACAAGTATTGATTTGTAACTACATAAAATTTTCCAGGCATGTGCAGAAATATCATCAGAGTCATCTTTAAACCTTTTTTAAACAAACATGGTCCCACCAATTTGGCAAAGCTGCCAAAATCGGTATAAGCAATTCAAAGTAAGATGAAGGATCAATATCTTTCTCCTTCAAATTAAAACCATTTCATGCTTCCTACGCCAGATGAGCAAAAGTCCATTTTTTTCTAGAGGCCTCAGCTGCTATTTCACAATTGAGTTGTTCTCAGGTAACTCAGTTTTTTCTTTCTAGAAAGGCCATTCTGCTTCCAAATGCCTTCTGAAAGTGAAGTAATGAATGTGTCAGGGCTAGGGAGTCTAGCGTTCAGATTCCTTTGTGGCCCTGTTACAAACTGGTCCCACACAGCCAAAAGATCTTTATTGGGTACTGTGAATGTAGTTCAAGTGGCAGCAAAGACCTCAGTACATGACAGGAGGAAAATTCTGAGATGTTAAAAAAAGAAAAAAACAAACAAGAAAACAAAAATTGTTCCACACTTCTAAACAAAGACTGTTAACTCTTGAGGTCTAACTTCCAGGTGCCATCACATCCTGCTTATACTGCCAACCAATCAGGGAGCAACACTAACTCCTTAAACACTATCCTCCTATGCCAAAACTTTGCCTGCTTTGCTTTGTTCCATCCTCTTATCTATGATCAATGTAGGTTCATTGTAAGTAATTTATACTTTCTTTGCCCCCATTTTTCATTATACAACACTCCCACTATTTAGATGTGGTAGACATTTTCCCGGCTGCTGTCTAGCCTTGTTGGTAGTAGCTCAAGGCACTTATCTTAAGACTGATCTTTTCTTTCTGACTAGTAGCTATGTAATGGCCCAATAATTATTTTTTTCAGAGATCTTTTGGTCTCAAGAATTTTGATTTAACAATGAGTCTTCACTCTTAAGTTCTCAAAAGGGCAGTTTTTCAAGCTGCAGTCACATCTGCAGTCAGTGCTTCCAATACCAAAGAACATGTGCTGTGCCAGAGTGGTTGGTGAGGGGCAAGGAGGAGACAGGGTCCAGCCTCAGCTATGCACTGTGACAGGGCAAAATCTGCTTCCTAGTACTGTGTCCACATCATCATGTTTCTATTCTTGATCTCTAACGGCAAGTTCCCCTTTGGAGGCCTTTGACATTCTTTTCCTGCCAGCTGACTTCCATCTAGAGAGGTTTTAATTAGTCAAACCTCAAAATGGAAGAGAAGTGAGGTCCAATATACCTGACTCTACACAAAGAAATTCTGGAGAAGGATGGCCATTGTCAAGCCAGGCAGTAGTCTGGTCAACCTTCACCATGGACAATAAGTGACCATTTGCCCTACATTTGCATAATTAAGAGGGGCATCCGCTGGGATACCTTCCCCAGAAATTGAGGGCACCTTGCTAGTTAGTTTCTGGGACTGATTTCCTTTACATAGCAACTTTTTTCACTTAAAAAAAAAGAAAAAACCAACAAAAACAAAAAAACCTCAGGTTCAACACACCAAGACTTTGTTAACTAACAGTTACTTCTTTAGTAGTAGTTTTTGATTTTAAAATGATCAAACTTAGAACCAAGTACAGTGATGCATTCCTGTAGTATCAGCTACTCAGGAAGCTAAGAGGGGAGAATCACTTGAGCCCAGGAGTTTGCAACCAACCTGGGAAACATAGCAAGACCCCATCTCAACAACAACAACAACAAGATGTTAAAAAATAATCAAACTTACATACACACTATACAGCTGCTCAGGAGCAGTCTCCATGCTACTTAAGAAGATTTCATGTTAGAAGTTGGAGTTGCAAACTTTGGTTAAAACTTCTAACATTCTCCTATAATACTAACAACTTTCTCAGTTATAAGAATATGTATCAGATAATTGTTATTCTTAGAATAGTTTATCATAACATCATCTCTCTAAAGGACTGAAAAAAAAACTTTAAGAAATCAGTCCAACAAACTTTCATTTTTAAAAAGTAACAATAATAAAATAAGAATAAAATAATGGGTGATTTCATCCCCATCTCACATTTCAGCCAAGTTTTATTATGCAAAAATCTATCTTCCATGACACATATATAAAAGAAATAAAATACACTTAAAATTTTATCCATGTACTTCCAATGGCTTTTTAAGCTAATATTTGATATAAACAAGCATAGAGTAACATTAATAATAGTAAAATTTACTAAGTATTAGGCACTGTTCTGAGGATCTTGTTCATATTAACTTACTTAATCTTCACAACAAAACTAGTATATGGCACTATAATTTTTAATCCCCATTTCCCACATAAATTTAAACAGAGAGAAATTAACATAACCAGTGTCACCCAATAGTAAATTGAAAAGGCTGGGCTTGCTGACATAGACATAGTTTAGCTCTTGAGTGTGGGACTCTGACCTTTACAGATATTACTGATAAGTGATTTAATAAATGTTTAGTGAAAACCTATTTTGTTTAATGAATCATGTAAACACTGTGGGTAATTCAAAATGCAGTATGTGGTTCCTGCCCTCAGGAAGCTCATATTTTGATTGTTCCTTAATCAGAAAGCAGCAGCATTGTGTACCTATTCTCATCATCCTGAACCTTCTACTCTACCCCATCATCCTACCCATCGTGCTAGGTCTTATTCCTTAAAATCAGATGCTAGTTTTTTGCTAGAATCATTAACTTACTGAGTTGCGTGAGATCTTAAACCTCAACTGAATCTCTATTTTACAGATTTGAGAACTTAAGTGTGGAGAAATGTCACAAGGTCAATGATAAAATAAAACTAGAAAGACAGGCTTCTTGTTTCTCAGTTAGTAAAATATGCTCATTAAAATGTATAGAAATTAAATTCATGCACATTTACTTATAATATAAACATGCAAATGAAGATTTTTGTTTAGAGGAGGAAAATAGTCCACATAGCCAAATATTGTTTTAGAGACTGGGATACGTCATTTACCCACCACCAGGTCAGTTATAAATCATGGTATTCATACACTAGATTGGGTGACATAAAATAATACAGTTGTCTTTTCAGTTAGCTAAGTAAATAAAAATTCCTAATAGTATGGGCAAAATTGGATGAATAATTTCAAATCAACAAATCAGGATCAAAATTTGAGGCTTTGATATAATAATAGCAGCTAACAGTGTGCTTGCTATGTGGCAGGTACTCTTTTAAGAACATTACATTTAATTTAATTCCTCTTTTAATTCCCAGACCAATCTGATGGAGGTGACACCATTATCTATATTTTCAGGTAAGACAACTGGACTGTAGGAAATCAAATAAATTTCCTACAAACAGAGGGCTAGGAAATAGGAAATATAGGATTCTTAAGAGTCATATTTCCTATTCTTGGTGCTCATACTTTGTTTGGAGAAGAACATAGACTGGATGTAGATAGAGGATCATAGTCTATGATTCAACACTTTATTTAAATAACTCATAGGAAATGTTGTGCTGGGCATTTCAGGGAATGTCAAAATGAATAAACATAACTCTTACGTTCAAGGACTTACAGAAAAATAAAAAGGATAAAATAGGAACAGAAATAGCTGTGAAACAATCCAAGCTGGCTCATTGAAAGGCATATTTTTATGATATTAAGTCCTTCTGCTCAATTG